AATAAGATTATATTTGACGAGTTTTAATATACTATGAATAAGTATATTAAAAATGTGATAGAAAACATAAAGATCAAGTTGTATTTGAATACGATTGAGTTACAATATTTTATCCCTACAAATATGGTTGAGTATTATGTAATCAGTTACCAGATGATCAGTTTTTCAATGAATAATACATTGATATAGATTTTTGATTCGTGGATGTAGCTACTGTGTACCAAGGTGGTACACTGTATCGAACCATGTTATATCTTTGTGTCATGTTTTTAATTGTTTTCCTATTTTTGAATTCTTATCTTTCAACAAGTATTATTTGCGTTAATTATTCGCTGTGAAAAACCAATAAATGGTATCAGAGCTATGTTCCAACAGGTATCAGAGTTCTATCCACATGTTTGACACAATGGATGCTTGCTAATCAGATATAAATATTGTTTTTAGTGTATGATACTTTGTTTTATAGGTTCAAAAAAATTAAGTGATATACACTTCTGTTTTATCAATTCGAAAAAAATAAGTGATATACAATTTTATGTCTAAAAAATTATTACAAGAATGAAAGGTTCGACGCGTACTTGTATGATCTGGAGAGACTTACTTGTCTTATAGTTTAGGGGCTATATCTGTCTTTGATTTCATTGCTTATAGTTTTGTCTAATTCAATATTACCCGTCTTCTCCGTATTACTATATTTCTAGAGTCAATAGTTCTCAATCACTTGCTGCCACCCCAATGGAAACAAGTTTTCGTTAACTGACCATGCTATTTTAAAACAGTCTCATGTTAATCTCAATGAATAGTTTAAATAGTAATAGAAAATGAATCGTAAATTCAGACGTCTTGATTTCGAATCTTAGCNTTGATTTCATTGCTTATAGTTTTGTCTAATTCAATATTACCCGTCTTCTCCGTATTACTATATTTCTAGAGTCAATAGTTCTCAATCACTTGCTGCCATCCCAATGGAAACAAGTTTTCGTTAACTGACCATGCTATTTTAAAACAGTCTCATGTTAATCTCAATGAATATTTTAAATAGTAATAGAAAATGAATCGTAATTTCAGACGTCTTGATTTCGAATCTTAGCAATTTATTGGTGCCAGGCCATGAGAGATTTATTCTAGTCTCGACATGAATGATTTATTTTTGACTGGACTGCAGTGAAAATTACTCGAAATAGATGTAAACTAGTCTAAACATCATTCACCATTGATAAAAAAAAAAAAAAACAGCCCCGGGTTTATGGCCATGAAACAGGGGTCCAAGTCAATCAACAAAACAAGCTACTACTAGGCTTCTAGTCCAAGAAGTCTATGGGTCCTGGCTATAGGAATATCTCCTGAATCTGTGGATTACATTGGGGTCACATNTAAAAAAAAAAAAAAACAGCCCCGGGTTTATGGCCATGAAACAGGGGTCCAAGTCAATCAACAAAACAAGCTACTACTAGGCTTCTAGTCCAAGAAGTCTATGGGTCCTGAATCTGTGGATTACATTGGGGTCACATTGATCATGCCACGGGACCATATGGATTACTTTATATCGTCTTCGTCTTGATCTATGTATTGTTCTATTCAATCAATTCAAGTCGTGACAACATAGAGAGAAAAAAGAAAACTTTGGTGGTGGGTGGTGGCAATGGTTGTGCTCATGATCATTGTAATGTGATTATGGTAGCAATTTTTTTTTTTTTTTTTGGTGACAAAGGGCATACAAGGAAGCCATTGGGTTTGGATTCCAAACAATGCCATTTTTTCAGGCCTAATCCCCTTGTTTTCTGGGTTTGGCTTCTGTATTGTTTCTTCAAGAAAATCAACCCTTAGTCCTCTCTCCCCTCCCTTCAATCTTCGGACATGTTTGGTTTAGGTATTAATAAATTGGATTGGATTAATTAATACGTAATGTTATGCACATCAAAAGTGTGCACCAAATCATCCATAGTTATTGGATCGGTAAGTCTCATCACAAATTCAACAGTTGCAGATGAATTAGTGTACATTTTTGTGCACATAGTTTTATCCTTAATTTAATATAGTGTTGATGTAATACTAAGTTTAAATTGGGAGTAATGTTACATGCATTTAAAAATTAGACTTAAAAAATAGACTTGATAATCACAACCATTAAATAAGTAGTGAGTCCTAATAAATGTTAGGACTCAGAGTAAAATCAATGGTTGTAATTATCAAATATAATTTTTAAGTCCACGTAACATTACTCTTAAATTGAATTATAGCAACCCGATATTAATTTCTCATTAATCTTGATCGGGTTCACCATTGTCTTTTAACACATAATACCAAATCAAATCAAACCTTATGTACTAACCATTTGGGGTATGCTATATGAATCTGTCTTTACCATTCATTTTTATCATGAGCTATACACTCATTTAAATTAAATATTTTCATTTCTTTTCTTATTATTTTGTTCAATGTTAATTTAGGTCTTTTAACACATAAAATTAGGTATTAATATTATGTGATAGATAGTACTATTTTTAACATGTTCAATATTAAAAACATAATAACTTTATTACCCTTGTAAACTTAGATCCATACCCTCACATAAAACTATATATTCTTTGATTAATTCTAATTTTTTGAGTCGATTATAGGGTTAATAACACTTTTAATCTTTAAAGTATGCTCATTTTGTCAGTTTAGTTCTTAATATATCAATTTTGTCAATTTCATCTCTAAAATTTCAATTCGTGTTTAAATAGTTTATACACAGATGAGCCATTAGTTTTTTTTGTTGAAAATGACCTCGTGTCATTTTTTCAAACTATATCACGTGATCATTCATAAAAAACTTAACCATTCATATGTGTGGGGACCATTTAAACATAAATTGAATATTTTGGGGACAAAATTAATAAAATTAATATATTGATGATCAAATTGACAAACCAAGTATACTTTAGGGACCAAAAATACTATAAACCCTTAATTATTGATGATACACAAAAATGTTTATGCAAAAAATCAATCAAGAGTGAAATATAAAGGGCTCAACATAAACAAACACCAAAAATAGGTAGTTCGGTTTGGCTGATCTATTCCACTGGGAATGGCCGAAAATTCTTATTGCTTAGAAGGTGTAGTGTGTTGAGATGTGTGTAGAGATGACAGTGGACTAGAGAAAAATAAGGATTCATCCAAATTCGTCTCGTTTGAACTGAGAATGGACTATACATATTGGACAATGGACGTATACGAGAATAAAGGTAGGGATGGACTTACCCTTATTCCCGTCTTGTCCCGTCCCGCCCCGTCCCCGTCCGCGTCCTCGTTATACCCGTTAAATATATTAAATATATATGAAGGCGTTGAAGGATATTACTACTGCACTTAATATCTTAAGAACTTTTATTCCACCAGGAAGAGTGCCTCTAAAACAAGAGGAATACACTTGGTGCTAGGTTGCTAGTGGAAGGAAACCATCCTATTTATCTCACTTATCTTTGTATAATTGACAAGTGAAATACCTTATATACCCTGTCCAATACTATTAGTACCATGAACATAGGAACAAAACAGTAAATTGAACATTTGGATCCTGTAAATCAACATAATGTGGGACCCTCCAAGCCATTTGAAACGTCCCATTTTCTTTTTTTTCTTTTTCTACTTGGATGGTGATTCACCTGTGATGTGTGCTTTTCCCTAGTTGTTTGACAAAAGAAGACTTCTTTTTCTTCTAAGCAGTCCAGTTTGTACTGGTTCAAATAGTTTTCACAATGTTGCATCAATTTAAGAGTTTCAGATTTCGATATGTCTTGTGATTTTATGTTGGTTTTGGGCTAATGGTATAATATTATTTTTTTTTTAATTTTGCATGACAAGTTAACATTATAGCTTCTGGTTGTTGGTGCTGTTAGCTCAACTCTCATATTTTGTTTTGCAATATCATATAGGTTCTCTGATGATGGGTTTTATGACTGGTTGCTCAAGTAGTTATTCGATTTTGTGTGGCCTCTTAACTTATTTAGTGATTTATCATAGGACAATTATATTAAATTTAAGTAGTATTTTGGACATTTATTGTTTGTGTTATGTTGGAATATTTTATGCTACATTATGTTGTGTTAGATTATTTAAATTGTTGTTGAATTATTTAAAATATTGAATTTATTTAGAATTTTGAATTATGTGGGCTTGAGCTTGGGCGAAGCGGGGACGATGGTGGGGGATTAAAAATTTACCTGTGAATGGGGATGAGGTTGAAAATTATACTCGTTAATGGGGGTGAACCGAAGACGGACAAAAGTTTTTTAAGCGAGTACGGGAATGAAGACTATACTCCGTCCCCGCTTCGGTCCACTGACATCCCTAAATATGTGTGATGCCCCCATGTGTAGGTGGAACTTCTAATTTATAGGAAACTACAGCTTTCAAGGTGCCCTAGAGCTAGATTTGATGGAGGCGCCATCTTAGGGAGCCCTAATTAAGGCGTCACTCTTGTGACAGGAGTGAGTGACCCAGTGATGTTGGCCTAATGGACAAGGTGGTTGAGAATTGCGATGCGTACCTTAATTCAATTTCTTTAAGATAGAGATTTCACATGCGTCATTAGTAGATTGAATTTTTCAAGGCGATAGGTTTGATCTGAGCTGGTTTACATTTGCGACCTGGATTTAAAACTGGATCTCTAAACTAGGCTTCAACTGTAATTCTAGACGGACCGGGCCGTCAATTATAATTGACCTTTTTGAGTTATATAATTTTATCTCGAATGAGATGTAAATAAACATTTATAATTAACTTACCATTGTGTTTTGGGTATATACCGAACTGGACACCAAATGTATCCGTTGGGTTTGAATTACTTTTTGTTGGAAGTTTTGAACATCAAAACATTCAAGGAAAGAAGAAAGGTCGACATAAACACAATTTCGACCGTTGAACTCTCCTCAATTAACGGTCACTTTTTCATACTCAAATCTGGCCTCAGTATGTATTAAATCCAACTTCAAAACTTCCCAGATTTCAGTCTTCTCTCTCTCTATCTCTGTGTGTGGCTTGGTACACTCTTTCTGTAGGGACATACATTGAAAATTTTCTTGAATTTCACAGGTATCCCACCTGCAATTCAATGGAGAAAGCTCTTGAAACGCAGCCAAAAACCCAAATTCAATCGGAAAACACCCTTTTAGACCCCAAAACCCCACCTCAGAATCCATTAAGCAAACATAATTCTCAAACTTCTGCTAATGATCCTCCCAAAACTGGATCTCCTTATCGCCTTAAGGTCCCCAAGGCTTTCAAGTACCCCGAGAGGTATATATCATAAAGTAATTGTATGTGATCTCTGTGTACATCTTATATTAATAAGGGTGGTTTAGCGTATGAAGTTCTCATTCCCTTTTTTTTAGCAGGTACACAAGCCCAACTGATCATATGATGTCTCCTGTTTCAAAAGGACTTCTTGCTAGAAGTAGAAAGCCAGCAGCACACTTACCTCCATCAAGGAATCAAGAATCAACCCAAGGTATGGGTGAGAGTGAGAATTCATGATGATGATGACTGTTTCGTATGCTCTGAATATCTTATTTTCCTACAATTACTTAAATTTAGCCAACTCATTTATGTTTTTGACCTTGGCAGATTCAGGATTTGCATTTTCAGGAGGTTGGTCTTTTCTCAGTGTGAAGTACTAATAGTGTTTGATAAGTTTGGACATGTACATCATTTTTCTTTCTATTCAGTAGGGTGCTTTTTAACTAGTTTTTTTTTTTTTTGTTGGGGGGGGAAGTTTATTGCATGTACTCATGTTTAGATTTGAAAATACAAAGTTGTCAGCATGTTCTCGAGATCTGGGACTGAAATTTGTAAAAAAATATGTGGGCTTACACACTTAACTTGAATATAATGGTCCTTGAAGATAATGTAGGAAACGCAAGATCAAGGTTGTTACAAAACAGAACATACTGTAATTAGTTGCTAGTAGATGATATACAATTAAACATATCAACTCAAGACCAATTGGTATGAACAAGCACTAGGGTATTCACGAAAATTGAGCCCCAAGTTAAGAATTCATATGTACAAGTCCTTCGATTAATCTCCTTTTCGATCCGGTCAAAAGCAAACCACCCATGGTCAGGACTAGGTTATTCATAAGGGATATCCTCAAGGGGTTGCCAAGATTTGAAATAAGGATTTTGAGCCCCAACTAGCACTCTTCAGCCAACAAATTATCTGCATTGCAGCGATTGCAGACAATGAGCTCTTAACTTTGAAGTGGAAAATTAGTTTAACTGATACTATATCATTTATATTGGTATGCATTTATATTGGTGTTGTGGTGTTTCCTGTGTCACGTTTGTAACTAGATTAATCGTAGATGAGTTCATGTGGTACGAAAAGCAATGTCATAAAGATAATGCTTTGTTTGGGCCAACAAACAATGATAGAATTTTTAAATTTTTTTTCTTTAGACCTTTAGATTATATCCTTGCATGTAAAGATTGAATATAGAGATGATGCCCTTCATCTTATGTAAAGCATTGGACCTGTCCAAAAACTCTGTGGTATGACATTTTCCATGTTCCATTTAAAGAGGCAAAAGATTGTTTCTGTGACTTGAAACAAACTTTGTACCATTGGATAGATCCGACATCTCCATCTATTTCAAGTTCACAGACAGATTTTGTTAGATAAGAATCATCTTCTCATCATCGATGATTTCAAATCTAGCAAGGTCAGGTGGCAGGGCCTTGCCTGGCCAGTTTTAAGTTTTAACCCTCTTCCTTGCCCAGCTTATTGGCATAGCCATCCCAAAGAATTTTCTCATCAACTTTCTGATTCAATTCGACTGGTACTTGTTCTCTCTTGTTATGATGAGAGTTCTCAAATTTTTCTGGTCGATGAATTTTTTCCAAATGGCCTTTATATATCTCCTGCAGTTATCTGTTGGCATGTTATTTCATGGCCAAATGATGGGGTAGAATCATCTACCTGATGTTGCCTTTGGGCTGTCTGTCAGAATCTTCATGGGGCAGATTTGGATCAGGCATTCGTGTACAAACCAGTGCATACAAAGTAACACGATCTCCAATAGTCAGTCTATTTTCATCAGCCAGCTGGTGGGAGCGAGAAGTTTGGGATATGTTTGGTGTTTACACCACATAAGCAAAATTTATGACCATAACATAAAATGAACTTGTAAGGAAGCTTGAGAAAATATGTTTCTGAAATGTTCAATTTGTGATGGCAAATATTTCACTAAGGAAGCTTGAGAAAATAGGTAAACATGGTAAACTTGTACCTCAATTATCCTGTAACTGGTCTTGCCCTCACCATATTTTCAAGCCTGAAAACTTTACACTTAACTTGTCCAAGTCTCCGAGTACTCACAGAAGGGTTATCTCATGCTGCATAGCACAAAATATTAGCAGTCACTCTGTGTGATGCACCAAATTTATAACTTCTCTCCACTGTCGCTCCTAACCCCATTCCCAACATTATTTAAAAAAATATGTGATACTAAAGTATGACCCAGAAAGAAACATGCTAACTATGGGTAGAAAGCAGGAATTTTTATTTAAATAATGTTGGAAATAATTTGATTTATAACGTTCGTAAAGAGTTAATTTCGACTTATGTTTCTCAAGAAGATTTTAATATCATATAAACAAACAAATAAATAACAATGAACATAATAGAAATTCATATCAAGATAAGAATAGTCTGAATTAAGGCACGCCAAAACCGTTGTCCTAAGAAGAGATATGCCCCCCTCCGCACAAAGTATTTCGGCGTTCTTTTCCCAAAATACAACAATCCCAGAGAAGCTAGGTGTAGGCATGAACCTCTCTATCGTGAATGATCACAACCCAAGTTGCCCAGAAAAGCACATAAAATCATACAACAAATAGACAAATATTTTATATGGAGAAATATAGAAAATAGTATATCTCCTTCTCATCAAGAATCCTCCAAAATGAGTTGCAGTGGTAGCCTTATATAAGCTGATCTCAAACGGCTAGTTTGGAGCTATTACTCCCAATTTCAATGCACATTAAAAATATTAATAATGCTAGATGATGACACACATATATATTAAACTATCATATATACACACACACACACACACATATATACATATATGTAACCGTTTTAAAGAATCCTATGAAATATAAATAATGAAAACATTATCGTGGTGGGGTATATATAATAATTATTCAAAACTTTTCTTTTCATATTAAATTATTCTAACAATCCCCCACATAATTTAAATAAAATAAAATTAAACTTGGGTAACAATACCATGCAATAGGTGATAGGTGTCTTGCGGACTCAAACCTTCACTTAGCCTAACAAGCTTCCATCTGAAAGAATCATAGGGAACATGTCTTGAACTAGATTCTTTGGTTCAATTTTCTACTTGTCAAACACATGGTACATGTTATAAAAATCACAAGCAAAATAATAACGCAACGAAATAGAAAAAATAGAACACAAAGATTTACGTGGTTCGGCTCAACAAGCAAGCCTACATTCACGAACGAAACACAACGTCAAAATTTTACTATTGAAAGGTTGAAGATTACAACGTTCTCAGAACAAATCAAAGAGAAAACTAGATATCTGCTCTATTTCAATAATAAAATATTTATTGGATCTAACAAAATAGAGCAATATCAATTTATCACACACACAAAAAACTCTTGTACCATCGTCAACGGCCAACCACTAACTCACTGGAGAAGATGCCATTTTTATCTAGTTTCTGGACTAAAGAATTTGATTCCTTCACAAAGTCTTTATGCTGAGGAGGTCTCACATGTAAGACAAAAAATCNGACAAAAAACCAAAGACTCCTTGAAAGTTTTGAGTTTAAACAACAAAAGTCCATGTTAGACTAAACTCCACTAAAATAATAAAACCAAAATAATTCTAATTAAGGTCAAATTTGTCAATCAAGGACTCCAATGAAAACTCATGTCTTCAATTAGAGTCCATATAAAAAATAATTAACTTGAATACAAGTCATCACAACAAACCTCCACCTTGACTTGTATTCCATCTATCCATCCAACCAATGTAAAATTGATTGCTGCTTTCGTCAAATACCCCGAAGGGTACACTCAAATAATGCAGACACCAATCAAGTCCAAGCAATGCTTGAACTTGAACAATGGTATCGGCTTAGTAAACATATTTGTTGGGTTCTCTGCTATAGCAACCTTTTTCATTGTGATAATACCTTGAGCCATAACTTCACGAAGGAAGTGATACCTAACATCAATGTGCTTGGTCATTTCATGACACATCTGATTTTTGGTCAAATATATTGCACTTTGACTATCACAAAACACAGTAGTTACCTCTTTTTTCAAGCCCAAATCACAGACCAAACCTCTTAACCAAATTCCTTCTTTAACTGCATCTGATACTGCCATGTATTCTGCCTCTGTGGTAAACAAAGCAATTGTAGATTGTAGGATCGCCCTCCAACTTACAGTGCACCCAAATAAAGTAAAAACATAACCTGTCAGAGATCTCCTTTTATCTAGATCAACCGCAAAATCTGAATCAACAAAACCAACAACTGTAGAATCGATGTCATCTTTTCTACCAAATACTAAGCCAACATCTGTAGTGCCTCTCAAATAACGAAATATCCATTTCACAGCCTGCCAATGAACCTTCCCAGGATTAGCCATGTAACGACTAACCACATTAACTGTTTGTGAAATATCTGAACGAGTGCAAACCATAGCATACATGATGCTTTCAACTGCACTAAAATAAGGAATACGAGACATAAATTTCTCATCATTTCTCACTCTGTGGTGATAAAGCTGCTGAAAGCCTAAAGTGAGCGGCAAGTGAAGTACTCACGGGCTTCGAATTTTGCATTCCAAACCGCTTAATAACTTTCTCAATATATTTCTTTTGAGATAAATATAACATACCTGCTATTCTATCCCTGTGAATCTGCATACCCAATTTTTTTTTTTTTTGCAGCACCCAAATCTTTCATCTCAAATTCTGAACTCAACTGTTTCTTCAACCTATCGATCTCTAGCATGCTCTTAACAGCAATAAGCATGTCATCCACATAAAGCAATAAGTATATCAAAGAACCATCTAACAACTGTCTGCNATTTTGTTAAATTCATCAAGATGTTCATTAATGGGCGTACCTTCTTTCATCTTGAGTATGTACAACCGTTGCTTCAGATACAAGCGGTTGGCGAGAAATTTCTTCATATATAAACTCTCCAATTTTTTTCACAACCCTTCGGCTTTGTCTTCATCGATAACCTCACGAGGAACTTCATCAGCAAAAGACAACTGAATTGCACTGTGCGTTTTTTCTTCAATATCAATAATTTTAATTTGATCTGTCTCCTTGGATAAAGTTCCATCAATGACCTTTGCCAAACCCTGCTGACGAAGCAATGCCTTTATTTTGATTTGCTATAAACTGAAATTTTTCTGACCATCAAATTTTTCTATTNGCTCAAGCTCAAGATTGAGTGAAGCAACCATGGCAAGCAATACACGAATAGAGCTATGTTTTACCACTGGTGAGAAAACTTCATTGAAGTCCACACCCTCTCTCTGACTGTAGCCCTTTGCAACTAACCGTGCAGATTCAACCCCTGGGATTCCCTCCTTTTTTTTGAAGACCCATTTGCAGCCAACAATCTTCATGCCCTTAGGCAACTTCATTTATTCTCAAGTCTGGTTCTTATGAAGAGATTCAATTTCCTCAGCCATAACAACAACCTAATGTG